CCCATACCCCCATACCCCCATCCCCCTCCACATCCACATCCCCTCCACATCCAATCTACAAACCACTATCCATACTAGTTCCATGTCTATTTCCCCCAAAGAAATCAGCACCATCCAATGCCATGCAATCTCAATATCGACGGATAAAACAAAGCTGGATAGGAATGCAGATGCAAATGTATACGCAGATCAAGGAGTGGGATAAAAACAAAGATCGGGGGGCAAGCACGCCTACTTATGTTTCTTATCCGCATATTCCTTGGTCTTTTCTTGGAGGTCTTCGATGGATTCGTTTTGGTGGGAGCGGTCTGCTGTTATCTGTTTTTTTGTGTTAGGGTCGGTTTGTTCCCTTTTTTGGCTTTGTGGTTTGTATTTGGGTATGAAATATGGAGTGAGAAAGTGGAGGGAGAGGAAGGGTTGAGGAGATAGAGAGTTGGGATGATGTGAATAGGAAGATATGAGGGGAGAAGGAGATGAGGGGAAAGAAAAATAAACTTACAGCCTCCTCGCTATCACTAGCAAGCTCCGGCTTCCAATGACCCTTCCCTTCTTTCTGCTTCGCCAACTGATCTTGCTTATGCTTCTCCGGGTCTCTTGATGGGTTATCTATTCATAAAATATATTAGCATCCATATATATCTTCCACATCCGTCCTCCATCCCTCAAGACTCATTGACAGTATTTCCCTGCGTCCGCCACACGAGGAAACAAATCAAATCGAGCTCGAAATCCCTTCAATCCAATCCAATCCAATTTCAACAGAAGACAGCAAAAATATAAGAAGGAAAAGAATACATACCCCTATCACTCTCCTTCAATCCCCTACTAGCCGTTCCAGCAAACCCCCTCTTCGCGCCACCAACCCCTCCATATCCACCCAATCCCCGTGTCACAGCACCTCCTCGTACATTGCGAAGGATGAAAGACATCTTGCAATCTTCTTTATTTTCCTTCGTCCTTCGATTCGATCTTCGATATCGTACTTTTTTTCGTTCTGTGTTCCGTTCTCGTGTGATATGAAGTGTGATGTGGAGTGCGGAGTGTGGCTTGTGATGGTAATGATGGTGTTGTAGTTATGCGGTTCTGAATCCCGTTAGTATTCGAATCGTAGGAAGTTTCGTCTTGCTCTGTGTAATAGAACAATCCCTTTCCATCATCCTTTAGGCACAATTGTCATTGCAATTACAACTCCCCGTTTCCGTATCTCCATACTGTACACCAGAATCTCCCTCGTGCAACAAACAAACAAACAACTCCCTCCCCTCTCCCCTTCCCTCTCACCATCCCTCCCAAAAACGAAAAATAAACATACCTTTCACTCAATTCCTCAATCTTCAATCTTCAATCTTCAATCTCTTCTCTCATCAAAACTTCAAAATCAGAAGAATTCCGATTCAAATACTTTCCTTTCCTTTCCTCAAATTCCTTCTCCGATTTTCCTTCCAAGGCCTTAGTCCCTCTCATCGATGATGCGCGCCCTGTTCCTCGCTACGTCATAGGCTTTTCCACTTCACGTTCCTCGTTCGTTCGTTCGCCCTCACCTCGGCAGGCACGCACGCACGCAGCTGAAGCGAGGAAGATGATATGATAGGATGGGACTAGAGTAGTGATGATGGGTGGGAGGGGTTGTTCCGTAGGTAGGTAGTGAGTGTAGTGTAGTCTATGGGTATAGTATATGTTAGTAAGTCCTATTATAAGTAAGTATCTAATACATCTCTATCCTACCTACTTATTCTACTCTGGCAGAGCAAAGAATGGAAGGTTTCTAGAAGGACGTACTAGACTAGGTACAAGTACCTACCTAGTCTCTCCTTCCCTTTCTCATTCTTCCTTAGGTAGAAGTTACTAGTACTCCTTCTACTCGTACTCTACCCCTACAACCAAAGAAAAATAACTCCCTCTCCAACCCCCCAACTCCCCTCCCCTCCCCTCCTTTCCTTGTCGTAACACTATCCCCCCTCACCCCTCGAGTTCCCAACTGAAGAAGTCCATCACTGCCCCGCATCTCCACAACACCCATCACTTCATAAAAAACTACCTAGTACCAAGGCTACGAGTAGGCTACCTGCTATAGTAGAGGTACTCCGCTCGTAAACCTCCACCTCCACCTCCACCTCCACCTTACCACTCACCTCACCACGCCTCCCTCACCACTCCACCTTCTCACCCCAAGATCAACCACCCAATAAATCTCCAGAAACGGTCCGTCCCGTACCATTTCATACATACCATACGAACCCTCAGCCGAACCTCCTCACCCCACCACACACACAAACCACCCCACAATCTCACCCTCTCACCACCTCATCTCACCTCATCAACCCCGCCGTCGTACAAGAACCCCCGATTTCATCTCAGCCGCTCCGTGCTCCGTACATTAGATAGACGGAGCTAGATGGAGGTGTGGTGTCACCTAAATCAGACCACACCACCAGAGTAAAACAAGCGTACTGCGAAACTTCTACTGTACTGTACACCTCGGAAGGATCCTTCCATTCATCCATCCATCTAACCACGTCAGAACATTATCAGAAAACTTCACTCGACAAGGATAGGACAGTAAATATGTTTGAAGTTACAATCAATTCCACTACTAGACTAAAAGCTTTACTTGCTTGCTCGAAACAATTACCGTTTTCTCTCTCGCCCTGAACAGAAAAAAAAAGAAGGTATTCCCGTAATCCTTTGCTCCTCCCGAAAAAGTAAAAAACAAATCCAGAAATAAATATGTATACCTCCTGATCCTTCTTCTTTACAAAAGGAATAAAAAAGTCGGGATATATAAATCAAGACGACCGACCACCCAATCCCACACACCGCCCAAAAATATATAATCATCAATATCCCCAAAACAAAGAGATCCAAGTTCCCTTGAAGTATGATACCAACAAAAAAAACACATAGGAGCGACGGGATCAGTTTGTTATGATCAGCAAAATCTAAGGACCACCAAAAACAACCAGCCAGTAGCGCAATACCGCAAATATGATGCAACCCTGCCCAAATATTTCAAAGTATCCGCTTTACACCTGAAATGACCAACACCGAAATGGTTTTTTTGAAAGCCGCTCATCATACAAGAAGGCTTAACCCATTTGTTCACAACCCAACACCCGTTGCCCGACCGCCCCGAATGTATATCGAGTTATAAAAATATAAAAAAATGTGGAGATGTGGAAATCTTGCCGTCCCTATAAATAATACCCGTGAAAAAACACCAACTGAGCCTTGTTCTCCAGAGAAAAGGAAATCGTTCTATGTATCGTTTTGGTTTCCGTAAACGTGGGAAGGCACCGCTTCCTGATTCCGCCCCAATGCAATGCTGGAAAACCAAAAACACCAACGCAAAAAATGCAATGCGCGCTTTCAAATCAAACCATCCCCGACTGGATGGCAAAACACCGAAACTTATATTTGAACAGAGGTATAGGTTTGAATATTATCCTGTCGCGGCCGTTTGTCGTCTCAAGAATTTTGAGGAAGAGAGTTGTCGAGAATTTATACAAAGAATTCGTTGAGGGGTCGATGGTGGGTCGTAACCAGATACCGGAGGTCAAAAGAAAGGTGCTCGCCATATATTAGAGGGATGGAGTGGACGAGAGTACGTAAACAATTAATGTGGAGGTGAAGAAAGTATCAACTCTGCAAGTGGACGAAACCAAGAAGCAGAGTCATCTACCAACGTCGACCCATCGATTGTTGCATCGCACGACCAGGGCTGACGGATTGCGGGGGGCTTGACATGCTGATTCCGGTACTTGGGTTGACGATAGGGATGGCGTTTCGAATTCTAGTTGCGGCAGGTTGGTGCAACTTGAGAGACGTTGGGTGACTTTGGTATGAAGGGATGTATGGAGTCGAGTTGGAGCTGAGTGAGAAGCCGGTGTCGGGTGCAACCTGATGAGATTGTGGACTGGATTCGGGTGAACCACTGGACAATGACGAGCGATCAGAGCCCGATGAGTGAATGGAGATCATGTCACTCTCCGTCAGCAGGTTTGGACAGAACTCGAGGTCGTCGTCCAAGTCGAAGGATCGACCAGCCTCGAAGCGTTGTCGGAAAGACTGAACCTGAGCGGCCTCTTCCTCCTTTCTCACGCTGCGGAATTGTTTGTGCGAGTTCTGTGACAAGCGGGGCGCCCGACGACCACGGCCATTATGATGTGTTGATGGGGCGGACTGAGCATTTGATGGAGTAGGATGTTGGTGAGTGTTGTAGTGGTAGAAGGACGACATTATCGGTTCATGGACCCTTGGGCGGTGCAGTAGGTGTGTGTTGGGCGGGATTCGTATGTGGTGAGCGTGGCTAGGATTGCGACCGGAAGGCACGGCGATTGAGATTGACGGTAAACTACGGGCTGAGTAAGGGGCACGAAGAGTTGACGATGATTACCGAAATGACGATGGAGTGTTGGAGTAGTTAATAGTGATCTGGTTTTAGTTTGGAATGTGTTGTCACGGAGGATGCGGATTTGGATTTGGATTTGGAAAAGGATGAGTGGTGGTGGTGGGAGTGAAGAATGAGGCTGGAGAAGAGTTGTTTTGCGAGGTTGGGGCAGGAGCAGTAGGAAAGCGAGTGAGCAGAGAGAGACGACCGAGGGGAAAGTGGCGAAAAAGGACGCTAGCGCTAGACCACTTCAAGCCCCGAGGTTTGGCGGGCGAATCACGATCTTCTTTATAGTGGGGCGCCTCATTACGGACCCACCAGCATATCCCGTTTCGTAGGGTATCGCCGGGGAGGAAGGCGCACGCTTGAAGCTTGAAGCCTGTCCATTTCACATTCCAACGAACCGGCGTGCGCATTGCATGGCTAGGCTGGGTCACTACACAAGCAACATTGCGGGCGGTCGCCACTGCCACTGCCACAACCACTTTCCGGAATGCAATGCGTGCGGTGCGCGAGCAGATTTTGGATTGGGGGATTATTTGCACACACAAAGAGCACGGAAGCAGGAAGCATTGTTGAGCATATATTTTGAGTTTGCTCATCGTCACTCTCACTGCGTTGGGCGGCACCAGGTCCGCGCGTGGAGGCACATTGCAGCATAACCTTTGCACTGCAACGCTCAGACAGGCTCTGAATGGGCTGGCGGGCTGTCGGGCGGGCTGCTCTAGTCTCTACAAAGTCCTCGGTAGCAGCTCTGAGGCCTGGAACTGAGAATCCAGTGGTGCTCCACGTTCCCATCCATGCTCCACACGGGAAATCTCATCTGAAGGTCAACCCCTGATGAGAAGAGGCCGATGTCGATGTGGAGGGTGTTTGGTCTTGTGTTTCGACCGTTCGGATCATCAGAATCTGCTCGTTCTTAACCTTCCCCTTTTCGAGGAGGCCATTCCGTCTTGGTCATTTGGAACGAGTACTGGTACAGTTGAGTACACACAAGACCAGACCAGACCAGTTACCAGTAAACAGTAACGCCCGCCATCTGATGATAATGTTCCGAGTTCTTGGTGGTGTGGTGTGTGTTGTGCTGTACAGTACTGTTGTGTTGTGTTGTGTTGTGGCCGTGGAGTGGATCGGATGTGTTTCTTCGCTTCAGCGGCGGTGCAGGGACAGCGGCCGCGATTCTGTGCCTCTCACTCGCTGTTGCTATCTTCGAGCCTTTGAACCGTCGTTAGTTTTGGTTCCTGAGACACTCCAAACACACTCCATTGGTAACATTGCATTGCCCTCAGTGCTCTGCCTCTGGCACTCTGCCTTTGCCTGGTGTATAGGTATCCATCACTGCATCACGCACAAGCGGGGATCTGCTCGACTGGCTGCACTGGCAGCACTGGCAGGCTGCATTCGCAATTGGCCCTGTCCGGCCCCTCTTCTGCGCCTGCCGCTTCCTTCGTCCTCTCGGGGCGTCACACCATCTCCACCCACCATTATTGGCCGGCATCATTGAGGGCATCTTGACTTTTCCCGACAACCGCCGTCAGCGGTACTGCCAAAGGTTACGGGTTTTCAAGATTGTTTGGCTCCAGAAGCTCTACGGTGCGCCGCGCGGTAGAGGCTGCGTTGTACCGAGTACAGTTACGAGCAGGAGCAGCCATTCCTACTGGGACTGTGGTACTTTTACCATCGTGCCTCCGTCCCAGCCTCAGCCTTAGGCTCGCAGGAACAGGTCACAGGTTACAGGTCGCAGAAGTCAAGCAAACAGCGGGACGAGCCTGAAGATCTGATCTAAATCCGTCAGACTCCATCGACTTCTTCGCCGCGGCCGATAGGGTTTGTTGATTGTGTACGAAATAGAGTACAGTACCACACCACAGAACCGTATCAGCATCGTTAACAACCCCTCGCTGACACTCATCAATCATCAAGCTCCAGCTGGGTCCTCTGGGAGCTCCCTTTCCCCTCCATCTCAAACAAGCAAGACAGGACCCGATTACGGTCGCTGATTATCATCTGCGCCTCACTCTCACCCCCCTCCTCCCCTCCTCC